ATATATATATATCTCCTGAAATTAAACTGCTTCAGTAACTGTTTGCATCATAAAAACTGACTAAGAGATACATGGATATTAAAAACTGAGAATACAGAGAATTATAATGTGTAAAACACAGAAGGTTTTTCATTCATATTTCAAATATTGGGGTAAATTTAAACACAGTTTTGGTTATAACCCAGGTTGTATCCAACCCAAGATAACTCATTTGTATTAAAAGTAAAAAAAAAAGAAACAAAAAAACATCAAAAGCCTTAAGTTCTGATCTGAAGACAAAAAGCAAAGCAGGGTGGGTTTTTTCACTACGGTGTCGCAGCCTGAGGAAATGCAAACTTTTAGCCCGAGGAAAGGGCATCCCTCTTTGTCCTGCGGGAAACGATGTGTTGAAATAAATTAGCAAACAAAAACAGGAGATGGCACAAAGCGGGAACTCAGATCAGAACATACGAACCTTGTCGAGATGCGACCTTGTGGGTTTCACCAGCTGGAGCTTCTCTGCAAACCTTAATGACAGAAAATAAACACCAAGAAAGCGAGAAAGCATTTTTTCCCCCCTTATTATTATTCTTATTGGAGGTTTGGGATGTGCTCTCTGAAATGCAAGAATGAAACAAAATATGATGATAAAACGAACATTAAAACATTTAGATATTCAAACATTCAGAGATGACACATATTGAAATCTGTGCAAATTTTTCAAAAAGGTTTGTCTTTTTGAAAAGATCTCAGTTTTTTTTAAGAGACGTGTTACGAGGTGTGATGCGACATCTGACATCTCAAAGTTTAGCCAAAAAATTAAACACAGCGTCCCGAAAAACTCATGGAAATCTATGAATATTTGACCGCAGCTTTCCCTACAGGTCAACTTTCTAACAGGCGTAGGCAACTTAATGATGGAAGGGGCCACAATTTTTTGTCAACACAACCAGAGGGCCACACAGCTCTGCACACTCAGCCAAATCTAAAAAAACTGATGGTTTAAAAATATTTGTGTATGTGTTTATTAAATCTATATACAGTTCAGTAACTTCACATATTTCATGCTCAGATTCTTGTAGAACAGTTTTATTCTTAAATATGAATACAAAACATTTAAAGCAAACAAAAAATAAAGACAGTTTAGCGAGCTGAAGTGCAACATCTTTAGCTGCCTTCAGTGCAGACTCCTACTTGGTTCTGGTAAAAAGCTGTTTATGTTCTCGCGACTTCAGTAAACTTCTCATATTGTGTAATGTGTTGTAGTGACGACTTTTATTAAAATCCTTCATGGTAGACAGTGTCTTTTAGCAGATTAGACACAGTTTCTATTGAAATTCTGTGAGCAGTCTACCTCCCAAAAAAAAAAAACAATAAAATAATGTTTCCAGTTTTTTTATTTTTTTACTTAAAAGGCAAAAGGGATCCCCGATTAGTTGTAACATTAGACTTTATTTGATAAACATATATTTTAACTGTAAAATAAAGACTGTAAAAATAC